TGTAGTGATGCAAACAACTATACTTCTATAATATATAGTGAAGAGAGATATTTTCCACTTGGGTGTTGAGTGAGGCATTGTTGATTTTAAAATCCAATCCATATCCTCTACTTTAAGATGATGCAAATTATCCTTTCTCATGATTGTGGGTAGTAAGTATGTTTTCCACACAGACAATGACGATGATGTCTTATCTCATAAAATTAACCAACACACTTGTGTTTTAAAATTTTTTAAAGAGGAACTACGTGTACCCTGATCCCCTATTGCACGAAAGGTAGTACATAGGCACTAAAGGATCGCAACCGCGGCGGGTGAAAAAATCATAAAAAATATATTTCTTCTCTCATCTCCACCATCTATTTTACATACAACATTTTATAGCCAAAATACACAAATTTTACAAAGAGGTTCCTGCGGAGTACCATAGATGTTTAGGGTGCTAATATCTTTCCTTTGCATAACCAACCCCCTTATCTAGAATCTTTCCCCCTCTTTTTGGGTTATTCGCTCTTTTCCCATTCCTTTGGAAACAATAAAGTGCGGTGGCAATTTTTATTTTAATTTGTACAAGTCTAGTCAATTCAATGGCTTAGTCTTAAACATTTCTACTGCTACAAACATAACCAAATTCATCACTACCGACAACTTCACAATTAACAACAATATCATTACATTAACTTAATAATTGTTCCTGCTAAAGTATTCAACTCCGTCATCTATTAATCCTACATGTTATATATGCTAATATATAGTTTGTTTACTTTGGTAACTAACAAGTAGTCTCTACTATTATTTATTTTTGCTAACTCTGCTACTTAACAATTATGTAACTAAATTAGTTAACTACTATATATACACATATATATTCTATAGTTATTTGATTATTCGCTTATGTGGATTAACTTGATAAAACCATAGTAAATTTTGATTACTTAATCTCTGTTACCTATAATTCATTGCTTATGTGATAATAATTAATGACTAAATAATAAAATAGCAGACACGGGAACAGACAAAATAAATAAAAGAAATTGGAGGCTTAAAGGTGTATGCCCCTCAACACCTTTAAGGGTTTCAGGTTAATCATCAAATCATTTTCTTTCTATCAAAATGACAAAACAACTTCCTTTTCCCTTTATTTTACAATCTTCGCATACTTTATTATTTTCGCGTTATTTTTCCGATTATGTAACTGCTACGGTTTGTAATAGTTTTAATTAAGGTTTACTACTTTTTCCCATGATTTTATTGGTTGTACCCCCACTCTCGAAGCCTTGTAATAGCGTAGAACTTTATTTCCCACGCTTTACTTTTCCTGCCATTGTTTTACTATATTGTTGATAGTAATTAGGGTTTGTATGGAAAGACTAATAATTGAACTTAGATAACCCTAATTTTCAAAGATAAATAAACTGAACATGAATCACTATTCACACTTGCACCTTTAGGGTAACCTCACTTGTTGCCTCGGAAAAATGGTCATGTCCCTCGAACGTAGGGATAGCCTTAGCAAAGTACCTCGGTTAAAATTATCATAAAGATCATAGTCTCGCAATGTCCCTCGAGTTTCCTACAATAAATGATCTTGTCTCTCAATGTTGCCTACGGATATAATATGACAGTCCCTTCGAATTACTAAGGTATCCCTACAGGTTTCCTTTATGATTGTATGATGACCCACGCATGTCCCTCACACATCCAATGATAAGGCTTCCTACTAACTAAATGGTAGGGTAGCACTATCTAAAGGAGGAGGAAAATAATACGAAAGACCATGAGTAAGGGTAGAATACTGTTAATCGCTTGCTCATAAAAAAACAAAACATCTTTTTCACAAATACTTTTTTCTGAAATATTTTCAAAAACAAACACTTCGTACGCATTCTTAACTGATATAAGAATCATTACAAAGTTGCCGTACTTAGGCATTTTCAAACAAACACATACACAAAGCATTTTTAAAGTGAGCTAGCAATTAAGAGCCCGCGAATAACTACGGATGAAAAGGATGCTAACACTTTCCCTTTTCATAACCTACCCCCCGAACTCAGAAAATTCTTAAAGGTCTTTCATATTATTTTCACCCTTTCCTTATTGGATAAAAGAAAAGTCGGTGACGACTCTTGCTATCCGCAACATTTGCGATAAAACGTAAAACAAGTCGGTTCTCCCACCGTATTACAATTTCTAATACTTTTATCTAAAATTCTTTAGTCTTCATTCCCTTATGAGACTTAATGGAAATAATTATCTTCTTATGATAAACTTTGATTCTTCGGTTTCCATTTTCTAGAGTTGATAATCCTTCATACTTTATAGACAACTCTTAAATACACATTTCACATTTTTACCGTAAAGTTGGAATAACTTGATATGCGCATTTAGTAAAGTTTTGACGAACTTCAAATAGGAGTATTTAATAAGTTGCATACTCTAAACTTTCACAAGTATTTGGAATTATATTCCTGTGAATGGATGTATGTCGGTCAGGTAAGTTGCTTTGGCGGCAACCTTACTCCAAAAACTCCATGGTAACTTAGATCCTAGCATCATTCCAAAATTGGTTGAATGTGTTCTTATCCATTATCACATAGAAAACTCATTAAAGTGCTCTGAAACAACCTCCATGCATTTACCATGCCTTGGCCTCAAAATCTATAACTTGTTCTTGTCATGAAAGTCTTCACTAGATAATGAAGAATGACTAGTAACATTAGAATCTTATAAAATATATAACCCACATATTTTAGAACCTTTATCAATGATCACTCCACCATGTGAAATATTCAACACCCATGTACAACTCTAGAACAATTCTCCAGATTATAAAACATGTTTATGGATAATTATTTTTGCCTAAACTCTGAAACATACATCAGAATATGTAGTAGGAACTCACAATCATCGAACATTTTAAGTTTTACTATACCAAGACCATGAACCTTGCAATCTACATTGTCACTAAGGTGAAATACTCCACCTTTTCTAGCTTCAGAGTCTCAAAGAATTCTTTCCTTGGGAACTTGTGATAAGAGCATCCTGAATCCATGACCCAACTTTTACCAGTTTTCAAACTCGACACTATTAATGCATCAACACTCACATAACCATCTTCATCTGAGGCAACAACAATCTGGAAAAAAATCTTCATTGTCTTTCCTCTTGGGATAATCCTTCATGAAGTGATCAATTTTTTGACAAATAAATGATTATAACATTGACTTGTCATGCCATATAGGTTTGAACAACCCTCTACATTTGCTTACTCTTCTTGAGACACTTAAGTCTTCACTGCTATCATAGATCATCAAATCTTTCACCTTTAAAAATTCCTTGGATCTCACAGTCGTTTGGAATTCATCAAAAGTAATTGTACCTTTCTTACCATAAATAAAAACATCCTTGAAGTGCTCAAAGAATCTGGATATTGAGCTTAACAAGAGTAGAAACTTGTTCTCATCATCAATTTTCAACTCATTATTCTCTAGATCAGCAATGATCTTGTGAAATTTTGTCATCTTCTCCAATATGAATTTTCTCTCTACCATTTTGAATTAGTAGAGTTGTTGTTTCAGACACAAACTATGAGTTATACTTGGTCATATACAATGATTCAAGTTTTACCCACATCAAAGTCGTGGTCTTCTCACTAGCGAATTCCCTTAAAACTTTATCCCTGAGGTATATGATAATGGAACTTCTGGCCTTATCCAAGGTCTTAATCGATATGCATTTGTTAGTCATGTAGATATCAACGCCTCGCGCTTAATGCTTCAACATATTTATTATGAGTTAAGTTTGCTTGCATTTTCACTTTCCATCACCCAAAATTGTTGTCTCTGAAAATATTTTTGATCTTCCATTTAAAACTCATAGTGCTCACTTGTTAACTTAACACTTTTTCCCAACGGTGAGCACCACTTGTTTTGAAATTAAAAAGTTCAATCACACCAATCTATCGTTAAAATATAATTATAATATTAATTTTATTGATAATAAAAATGTATGAGACAAAGAACAGTGACAACCAAAATAAATAATCTCAAATAACAAAATAACCAGTAGCCAGTGTAAGGAAATCCACATCAAGTAAGAAGAAGATAAAATATGAGAACACAAAGAATTTGTTTACCCACTGTTTTATAGTTATCTTCCTTGACTTCCTAGTTGTTTTTCAAACCTTCTGATTTTAACACTCTCAAAACATGTTTTCCTTCTCTTTATTACTTAAAATTTTAATAACACATGAAATTCAAATTGATGACATGTTCAATATAAATCTTAAATAAAAACAATTTTTTTAAATAGTTGTTGAACTAACAATGATACATCATTAATGTGAGTGTCATATCCTTAAGAACTAAAATTATAAATTTTAAAATGGAAGAATCAAAATCCAAAAAAATATATAATAATAGAACACCAAAATTACAATTCAGTTTACTTTTGATCTTCTTTTAACGTTTTAGTTTTCCATTTTTAAATTCAATCTATTGATTCTTATATTTAATAATTTTTAGAATTATTTTGACCCCTTCAATTTCTTAGTTCCCATTTTAAAATTATTTTAGTTGTTTTTTTTCAGCAGCCACACATTCTGGTTCTCCCTTTTACGACTTTTAATAGGAAGGAATACATTTTAAATTTGCGATCTTATCTCAAACTTTAATACCAAATTAACTTTTATTTTGGCACATGGTACAAATTGTTAAATTGTCAATGGTGCTTTTATTATTTTTATGTTTTTTTAAAGACGGCAAAAATATTATTATTATAATTATTATTATAGTAATAAACCAAAATCATGATTATAAATGCATAGAAAACATATAATTTGCAAGCATCAAGAGAAGTAAAAACCTAGCTCCACCACAATCATGTTTGTATTTTGCTTTTCTTTCTTTCTTTTAATATACATGGTAAAGAAAATTCTGCATTCAAAATTCAAATTATCATTGTTGAGAGTTGAAAGATCCCAAAGCAAGACGTTTACAAGGATGGAGCATTTGCCACAAGAATCATTATCCAACATACTATCAAGGTTGCCAGCAAAAGAATTATTGAAATGCAAGTTTGTTTGCAAATCATGGTTCAATCTCATAACTGATCCTCACTTTATTAACAATTACTATCTTTTCTACAACAATCTTATTTACTCTCAAAGTGTGGTGGTAGAATAGAAGATGTTGTTTTAGCATTCAACGTGGTTGATGAAATGTTTAGGAAGATAAAAGTGCCCAAAATAGAGTATTCTTGTTTTTCAGGAGAGTGTTTTAAAACTCTAGCACCTTTTGATGAATATGATACTATTGGTGTTATTGTCTATCCTGTAAGAGGAATAGAGAAATGTTTTGATGTTTGGGTGATGAAGGATTATTGGGATGAAGGGTCTTGGATTAAGCTATACAGTGTTGGTCCTGTGCCTATGATTTCAAAGTTCGTTGGATTTTATGGGAGCAATGGATTTCTTTGGAAAGATGCAAATGAAAGGTTGGTATTATATGAGTGTGAGAATGAAAACACAATGGATCTTGAGGTTTATGGAAAGCATGATTCAATAAGAGCTGTTAGATATATGGAAAGTCTAGTTTTGCTTCAAAGGGGAATAGAACGTTTCTCATGTATATAGGTTCCATATTCAGATCATCTACTAACTCAAAAAGAGTAGTTTGTTTCATTGAACTACAATTACAATTAATTCATTGCATTCACTTCTCCAAATTTTGTTTAGTTTTTGACATTTCCAACTAAATAATAAATAAGTAAAATATAATTACAAATAATAATAAATGACAACTACAAATTTAAATATTGATTTTATAGTTAGCTGTCATATAGAATGACGTCAACTAGTTAGGCGTGACACTATTATTACGTTTTGTATAAATATTAGTTTTTGGTTGAAAATAAACTATGGTGTTTAGTCGAACAAAAAAGAACAATGGTTAGATTTTCTTTAAAAATATCTGAAATTGTTGAATTACATATTCACCTTGAAGAGAAATGAAACGGAAATATTTAATAATTTGTTGATTAGATTGTAAATTAACAAAATTATTTTGGACCGATCATATTGATTTTCGACTGATTACTCTAAAAAAATTGTAATTTTTTTGAAATTTTCTCAACACACGAGAGCTACCTTACAAATAAATACAGAGGATTCAAATATTAGATACACTCAACGATTCTTTGTGATTCACGTCTAATAAATAGTAGGTTGTTATTTTTCTCTCTACAATATTGAAAGCGTGACAATTTAAGTATTCAATTTCAATTCACTATTCTCCCTCACATTAAGTGTTGGAGTGCTAACCTTGCAAGTCAAACTCTCTCAGTCACATCAAAATCCCAAATATGTCATTATCATTGATCCTCACTCCATTTTTGGTTTCAATATAGAACAGTGACGTCATCTGTTAGAATCGACTTCTAATTTGCATGTTTTCCACGATCTCTTATTTGCTCTTCAATTTGTCAATTTGAAACCTCTTTATGTCACCAGATCAAGAGCTCCAAAAATCAGACACGAAGATTCGTCGCGTTTGACCCAATCAAGTAGCATATCAATTTTGATTTCCTGAATTTCCAGATCTCTGATTTCTGCACTCCTCGATAATAGTTGGATCCAAAGCTACTCAATAATGGTTTGAAATATTCATTTCTTTATGATTGTGTATAACAACATCGAGTTCATTGTACGTCCTAAAGGATCGAGGCCCCAACGCAAAAACTGGGAGGTGTTATCACAAATTCCATATGTGCGTGCCTATAGTAATCAATTATATATTGCGTAAAGCACATACAAAGAAACTCATGGTTATTGTCGCAAATGACACGCGCATGCGACTATAACAATTCCCCAAAGCGTAAAGTGCATGCACAATGAAAGTTCATGGTATTGTCACAAATGCCACGCACGTGCGATTATAACAATCAATTCCTAGGAGATTAAATCGCTAGAAATAATAATCCACCGCCTCTGGAAGCTATAAACTCTAGAGGTCGTGGTGGGTTGACCACACATCGACCTCAGACCAGGTTTTCATCTGCGTATGGGAAAGAGAACCGACCTTTGACTGGGAATGACCCTAGAGGCAGCCAGTAAACTTTGAATGAAGAAATCGTAAGAATTTGGATATCCTCTTTCATAACCACACAAACATACCTCGAATAGGTAAAAGAAAAAAACTTATATATTTCTCCATTGCAAATATAACTTACATGCAATATGTGAAAAAAAGAGAAGAAAAGGAAAGGCTATCCCGACAGGGAAACAATCTTCCTGCCTTTGAGAATTTGATATGGCCAAACCTACTCCTTAGAAACACGTAGAGGATGGTGAAAATGCTCCATTTTCTCTAAGGATTTTTCAAAAGACTATGAAACCGCCATAAGGCAGATGGTTGTACACTAAGTCAAACATTGAGTACGCATGTAAGGTATCTTAGCAAAAACAAGCAAATACAAGATCATGGTCCCTCGATGATGCTATCTAAGTTGTCTTACAAATGATCTTAGTCCCTCAAAAAGTACGCTAAGATACTTTGCAACATTTCTAATCATGGTTATACGATGACCCACGTCTGTCCCGTTTACATCCAAAGATAAGGTTGCTTACCAAATCAATGGTACGACAAAAATGTCAAAGTAAAAGAAAATGAACAAGAAATACATTTGAGTAGGTAGATTGCTCCTAATTACTTGCTCCATTTCAAAACAAACATCCTTGCTATTTTCAAAACAAACACATACACTTTCAAATATCTTACAAAATTGAAAACATTTTCAAAAGATCAAACATCTTTGTATACATTCTTACAAACAAGAATCATTACAAAGATTACCTAAACAATGACCTCTTTACAAAATACTTTTAAAAACCACATCAAGCACAATTTCAAACAAAAAGCAAGTGATCTGGCAAGTAACTAAGAGCCCATGTAAAACCATGGATGAAAAGGGTGCTAATATCTTCCCTTTTCATAATCTACCCCCCGAACTCAAGAAACAAACTCAAAGGTCTTTCCTGTGCTTTTTCACCTTTCCTTTTGGATAAAAGAAAAGTTGGTGGCAACTCTTGCTAAACGCAACATTTGTGATCAAACGCAAAACCCTCAAGTCAGTTCTCCCACCGTATCACAGGACTATCGACTCTGCTGGGGACTATTCTAAAAGTGGGGTTACCTTAGGGCTAGATCACATTTACTTGCTTACATTATTTGACTTGTATACTTTACATTATGGTTCTTTATTTGGGTTTTAATCCTCTACCCAAATTTGGGATACATTATAAGTAAGTAGCAATACATTGTGGAAATTGTGCGGGGTATACTGACATGGTCTAAGCAATAGCTACTTTAGTGCAACATATTTGTGGGTACCGGTAGCCTTTGATTTAATCAAAGAGAATATGGGGCCGCTGAGTGATGTCATGAAGCACTAATGAACTTTTAGAACCTTTACTTGACCAACTTGGCCTTTAGGATGTAGTGAGATGACCGGCTTTAGTGCAGTCCGAAGTTGGTAAATACTCGATACTACACTCATTGAGGTTTGGTTTCTTGGGATATTTCAGTCGCCACTAAAGAAGCTTGTGCTGAAACAATAACCAAGGAAACAAACCAGTGATATTGAGCTCCTTAGAACCCGGTTACTATTACTAGGACAGGTTTAAGCCAACTAAACTTCAAGAGGGTACTTACCTATAAAACTCCATGTAAGCCTAAACCTAAGGAATTGTTTTCTTTGTTTGTATATACATACTTGTACATAACATCATGAACATCATAACATCATACACATTCACTAACCATTTCAAGGATTTTTTGGATTCATCTTTGTCTTGTTTTGTAGGATATGGATTCACTTCGCAGGAAAACTATTCAAGTCAACCTTGTGAGGATCCCTCCACAACTTAACGAGCTAGCTTCAAGCATTCCTGAAAACTCTCCATTCACCGAGAGACATGGTCACCTACTCAACTTGGTCACCTCCAACACAGATGAGGACATGATGAAGGTGCTCTTTGAGTTCTTTGACCCCTTACACCAATGCTTCACATTTCCCGACTATCAACTTGTGCCTACTTTGGAAGAATTCTCCCGACTCTTGAGAATTCCCATTCTCAATCAAATACCTTTTAACGGTACGGAAAGAGACCCAAAGCCAGAAGATATTGCTCAAGCTCTACACTTGCACTCCTCTGATGTCACAATTCATTGGGAAACAAGGAGTGGTGTCAAAGGTTTCTTAGAAAAGTTCTTGTTCGAGAAAGCCCAAAACTGTTGGAATTCCTTGGATTTGCAAGCCTTTGAGGAAATTGTGTCTCTCCTCATCTATGGGATGGTTTTGTTTCCAAATCCTGACCAACTCATAGATGTGAACACCGCCAAAATCTTCATATCTCGCAACCCGGTGCCTACATTGCTAGGGGATATCCTACACTCTTTTCACACTCGCATAATGAGGAAAATAGGTTTCCTTATGTGTTGCACTCCTCTCTTGGCAAGATGGTTTATTTTACATCTTCCCCAATCTGTATTAAAGAATGAGCAAGGTTCAAGGGGGTCACAAAGGTTGATGACGCTCAAACATTCAGACATACATTGGTGCTCCCGATCCATAGAGAATGTTACTATTGTCGACCGTTATGGGGAATTTCCTAATGTCCCTTTACTTGGCATTAGGGTAGGAATTACCTACAACCCTTGCTTAGCTTTAAGACAGTTTGGTTACGCCCGAAGGGATGGTCTACACGAGATGCTGATTCAAGGTTTAGTATTTGACTATGACAACAAAGATCAAGTTCTTCGTCAGAGATTTATCTGAGCTTGGAGGATGATGAACAAGGTAGATAGCAAGACTTTGGGGAACAAGAATTCCATCCCTCTTGAGCCTTACCTCAAATATGTACGAACTCGTGCTCAGAGTCTTATGATGCCTTACCCCTCCATTCTCCCGGTAATCATTGAGCCTGTCATGGAGGGAGATGTTCCATATACTATCCTATATCCTGACATGCCTACCTCTCTTAAAGACCTACAAAGGGGTTGGATACAACTCAAGGGGGGCGAGATACCTTCGAAGCCCAATTCTACGCAAGCGAGAAGAAGGTGTTTGAACTCACTAGGCTACTTCATGAGGAACAGACTCTGAATGCCTACATTGCACCAAAGAGGATGTGTACTACCTTTTTATCTTAGAGTTTTTGTATTATTTTGCCCAAGAAGGCATTGATGTACTCAAGATTTAAATCTATTAATATGATGTGTGTTTCCTTTTTGTCTAAAACAAATTTGAATCTTAAAATCCTTGAAAACATTGCATATGCATTTATCATTCATCATAACATAAGCAGGTTTATTGCAACAAGTCTCCTCATCTCTCTACTATTTATTTCAGTAAGATGGATCTCGAGCAAACGGTGAAGGACCTTCAAGCTTAGAATGCACAGTTTCAACAGTTGTTCTTGACCCTAGCCAAAGGACAAGAAGAGTTGAAGACTTTGCTGGCTGAGGAGAAGAAAAAGAAGACAAAGAAGATATTCGGAGTTCTAAACATGGGAAGAAGGTTCCAAGGGCAGACAAGAAGAGTCGTAGACTTTGCAACAACATCCGGTGAGAAAGA